TGATATGAAGAGGAATAAAACCAATGATTACTCAGAAATAGACTGGAAAGAGGTGTCCAAACAAATGGGTGATCGCAGTGAATGGCAGTGTCAGCGACACTTCAGGACTAAAGTGTATTATGTGATGTCTAATGGAGATATGGATCGGTTGAACCGGTGGTCAGTGAACCACTCGCGACAATTAGTTTATTTTTTGCACCGGAGTTCATATGAAAACGAGTTACAGATTGATTGGGACTTTCTTAAAGACAAGTTTTCAGAGTATGGCTAATATTTTGAGTTCATTGAATTGAATTGAATTAATACTCAAATTAATTATTTTTGTAGTGTCTGTACATTCCGGACGATGTGTAGGAACTGGTATAATCTGAAGGCAAAGGTTCACGATTACAATCTTAAGACATACCCAGAGATCGTGGACTCGCTGTACAAACGATACGTTGGACCCAATGATGATGTGGAAGAATTGGAAGAGTTTTGCAAATCGTGACACCAGTACACCATTCATTGATTCATATTTTATCAGATATTTTATTTCATTATTTACTATACAGTAATATAAGTTTAACTATTATATACCATAGATACAATGGATTTGAATAGATTATTGTAATTTTTAAGTTTTTTTTAAAGTAAAACATTCATCTTGGACATAATCATTTGATTTATTTAAATACTTTTCATGAACTGTAAATAATTTGCTGAGAAAATGTGTATTTAATATATAGGTTAAATATGACTAAACTTATTAAAAACAAATTAAAAGTTAATTTGCAGTTACGACATATATGAATAAATTGTTGTACCGTTAATATGGATTTTTGTTCGTGGTTACATTCAAACTATAGTTCCTAACTATTCAAACATGCATGCATATGAATCGGGTTTTTTTATAATGGCACTTTTGCTGTACATTTGCTATAGCATTTGTGCCATTATTGAAAAATCCATTTCATATCAATTTTTGATAATCAAACTACAGTACTGGTAAATTAACGTTAGTGATTCACCATGTTGCAATGCTTATATGATACATTCAGTGTAAATACTGTAAATGAGTGTATTTGAATATTTATTTAATTATTTATTGAAATTAGAAAATATCGAAATCTGTGAAAGTAATTATACAATATAGCCTTGATGACAAATGTATAGAAATATAATTAACTATAAAAACTACTGTAAATATAAGTGTCATTGAATTGTAAGTAAAAAATCGATAAAAGGAAACATTTATTAAAGGAACTATTAGTAGACTTTTTTGCATTAATAATATTCTTGAATAGAATAGAATATTCTTAACATTAAGTTCATTATATTATGAATAAAAAAAAAGAAATCAATATTAAAAGCATTCACTCCAATGTCGTTGACCTTAACCTTAAGTGTTGTTACTTTTGTCGCATAGTATGCAAACCAATCGTGTGTTGAATAAAACGATTGTTATTCTCATATATTATTCTGAAATGTAGAGAATCTGTATATAAATAATTCAAGTTTTTACTGAATATTCATTCTTGTGGTCTAATCTGAAAATAATGGATAAGTTTTTGTTCTTAAAGTACTCTCTTATCTTCGTCCAGATCTTGACTCTCATATCATTTACACTATACTTAAGTCATGTCTTTGAGGAGAGTTTGGATAATCATAAAGCTTTGGAACCAAATATTGATGACTATATCGATGACAACCAGTTATGGGAATCGAGTGAGTCTTTCAAACAATATACAGATTTACTAAATATTTAGATTAAAAATGTATTTATTCATAATCACTAGGAATGGATGGTTTAGTGGTGTTTGGATTCCTACTGTTCCTCTATTGTGTCATTACTTTTGGAGTATATTCTGTAATCGAGGAAAAGATCGGTCGGATTCTTGTATTCTTATTTATTCATAATCACTAGGAATGGATGGTTTAGTGGTGTTTGGATTCCTACTGTTCCTCTATTGTGTCATTACTTTTGGAGTATATTCTGTAATCGAGGAAAAGATCGGTCGGATTCTTGTATTCCTAATATTATTTGTCATTTGGATGATTGCATTTCACAGTGTAATCAAGATCTACGGCCTAACTATCCCTAAAAAGTTGCTTGTTATTTTCGAAATCATATGCACTTCTCTGACAATTATATTCCTATTGATGTTAAAACGTTTGGATAACTTAATGAGTGTTCGAGTGAATGAGTTCAGTAAAAGTGTGTCCACTATATCCGATAACTTGCCTTATAATCCAAACTTTATAGTATAAGATTGACCATGATTGACTTTGTTTTAAATTCAAGTTTAAATAAATGTCTTTTAATTCTGTATTTGATCCAATTCTGTTAATTTCCATACTTTTGTGTTGTATTGAAATTTTTAGTAATAAAGTTCTCAAATAAATGATAGATTTTATAACTCATTTATAGATTTATACGAGTTGAACATTTAGTTAACTTAAATGTTTACACGTTAGTATAATAACTAATCATTACTGATACATTATTAATAATGAAAGTTTACAATAATCTTGCTACAATAACATTTCAAACAATTATGTTGGAAACGTATTAACTTGTGAGTTGTGTGCAGTATAACTGATTTATAGGTTTACTTAAATCTCTGGAAAAGTTTGAATTAAAGCTTTTTTGATGAGTGAAGAGATTTGATTTTTCAAATAGACTTAAGTTTTCAAATTAGGCTTTACATTCATTTTAGTCACTCTATGCTCGACACACATTAAGTTTGAATGAAAGTTAAGACATACAGTGTATATCAGTCTTTACAATATAATTAAAAGTATAAATCAATTTACTATTTATTTTATAATCGACTAATAAATCGGTAATGGTATATTTAAATGATCAAGCTTATTGAATAATTGTTTGTCAATTAGCAGGCAATGGATGAGAATGATTGTGCCATTTGTTTGGATGGACTCAATGAGGGCACTAAAGAAAGCAATATGCAGTTGATATGTGACCACCAGTTCCACAAGCAATGTATTAAACTTTTGTCAATTAGCAGGCAATGGATGAGAATGATTGTGCCATTTGTTTGGATGGACTCAATGAGGGCACTAAAGAAAGCAATATGCAGTTGATATGTGACCACCAGTTCCACAAGCAATGTATTAAACTATGGTTTGACACAAAGTCCAATTGTCCCGTTTGTCGCACGCAAACCAATCCTATCACCGAAGAGATCCGATGGTCTCTCGACGCCATGAGATCCACACTCGAGGA